CTGTGGTGTCATAGCTCAAACTCTTGGGCTCAAGTGATTCTCTTGCCTCAGCCTCCTGAGTAGCTGGGACTACAGGCACCTGCCACAATGCCTGGTGGGGTCTTGCACTTGCTCAGGTTGGTCTCAAACCTGTGAGCTCAGGCACTCCCCCCACCTTGGCCTCTCAGAGTGCTAGGATTATAGGCATGAGCCACCGTGCCCAGCTGCCCTGTGTGTTTCTGATGACCAGTGGAAGGAATGTGGGTGCAACAGCCTGTCGGGTGTGGGTACAAATCCCAGCACACTTGCTGTGAGGCCTTGCGTAGTTTTTCAAATCTCACTGAGCTTTAGTTTTCTGTTTCTGCTTCCTGGGGTTGGTGGCCCGCTCCCATTGGGTAGGAGATGTTCTTATCTTGGAGCAGATCCACCCCCCACCCACCTTGCTTTCCAATTTCTCTGCTCCTGGGCTGAGCTTTTGCTCTGCCAGTCTGCATCAGCGGGCTGAAGTCTGCTCTTTGCATCTGGAGTAAAGCTGCCCATGTCCCACATCCCTTCACCCCCTGCTCAGCACTAGATGCTTTTTGTTGTGGTTAAAACAGTAATGGGATTTTCAGGATTGCCATTGCTGAATCTTGAGGGAGGTAACTGAATTACATTTCTTAGAGGAGAGAGGAAAAACAAGGTCAAGAGAAAGAATAAATCTGCGGATTCAAACCTACCAAACTTGGAGCTTCTCTACAAAGGAAATTATTTCTAATTATTAAAATTTTGGAAACATTGTACTGCCAAAGAAAGGAAGTGGAAATGGCTCCTACGAGAAGTGCTAGCATATGTTTCTGTGATTTAACAGTTTCCCGTTAACAACGTGCAGCTATTTTAAAAGCAGACGGGTGACTCATGGTATCCAGCACCAGCAGTCCACTGTGACGGCAGGAAGCGTGCACTCTGGAGGGGGCAAGCTTGGGTTCGACTCCCGTCACTGTCATTGACCAGCTGGGTGACCTCAAGCAAATTACATATCCTCTCTGAATTTCCTTTTTTTCCTTTATAAAATAGGTTGTTATAAGGATAAATAAGCTAATGAACACATAACCCTTAATACAGTGCTTGTCTATCCATGTAAAACCCTACAGGTTTTATATAATTAACCAGGTTAATTTCAGTACAGTAGAGCCTCTATAGTTGACCACCTCCCTACACTGACCACCTCAAGTTGACCTAATTTTCATAGACTGGACATGCACTACGTGTACGTATTGTAACAGTAGACCTAGTTCCTTATGTTGACCACCTCTGTATGTTGACCACTCTGTTTACAGTCCCTTGAGTGGTCAATTACAGAGGTCCTACTATATTTGTAATAATTCTTAGTTGTTTAATAATAAACATTTAAGGCTATAAATGTTCCTCTGATTACCACTTTGGCCAGAACCCATAAATTTTGATATATAGTATTCTTTTTGTCATTGTCTTCAAACACATTTTTTAGGTTTTGTTTTTTGTGTTTTTTTTTTTTTTTTTTTTTACCTAAAGTTACTTGTGAGAGAGAGAGTGTGTTTATGTGTATGTTTTCAAATAGTTAAAATTTTTTCTATATTTATTGTTAAATCCTAACTGTATTGTAGTAAGGTCAATGGATGTGGATGATATGGCATTTACTTTTTGAAACTTACTGAGCTTTTCTTTATAGTCTAGTACAGCAGTTCTCAACCTGTGGGTCATGACCCACAAGAACTGTATTAAAGGGCTGTGGCATTAGGAAGGTTGAGAACCACTGGTCTAGTATATAATCCATTTTTGTGTATATTCCCTGAGTATTTGAAAAGAACTACATTTACATTTATATAAAACCAAGCTTGTTGATTTTCCTGTAAAACTACATCATACAAACATACACATACACATGCATACGTATGTGTATGTGTGTTCTGGATACACACATATAAATTCTGGAATAGACATGCCAAAGTCTCTCTCCATGGTTGTGGCTTTGCTGAACTCACTTTTTATTTCTTCTTTTTTATTCTAATTCTCACATTTGTTATCGTATTATTATTATTATCATCATTATAGATTTAGGGGTATGAGTGGGTTTTGGTTTCACGGATTAATTGTGTAATGCAATGTCAGTCAGGGTTTTTAGTGTACCCATTACCTGAATAGTGCACACTGCACCCAGGTGGTTTTTTTAGTAGGTGGTTTTCCTTCCCTTACCCCTCACACCCGCCTTCTGAGTCTCCAGCGTCTATTTTTCCACTCTGTGTGCCCCACTCACAAGAAGGACATGTGGTATTTGCTTTTCCATTTCTGTGTTATTTCACTTAGGATAATGGCCGCCAGTTCCAACCAGGTTGCTGCCAAAGACATACTTTTATTCTTTTGTATAGCTGAGTAGTAATCCGTGGTATGCATACACCACATTTTCTTTATCCACTCCTTAGATAAAGATGGGCTCTTAGGTTGATTCCATATCCTTGAAGTTCTCACTTTTTATTTCCAACAGTATTTTGCTGTGTATATCTGGATGCAGTGTTGCTCCATGCATAGAAACTGGTAGTCATTAAATCTCTCAGTCAACTATGCTTTTTGTCCACATCAGTCTCTCATCTTTGCCTTACTCACTGTTTTCTGCCTTGAATTCTGCTTGCCCTTCTGCTGCCCAGTCCCCTGCACAGTCGGCACAGTGACAGTGCTCATGGAGAGCCACTGGAAGGATATGCCTCTTGTCATCTATGCACAGGTGACCAGTCAGCCGAGAGCCATGCAGTGGCTCATGCTACATGGCTGGTCCCCCTTCCCCTTCCCTGGTCGGGCAGCTAACCCGTGATAATGGTATTTTTATGTCACATCTTATTTTCTTATTAAGCACCCTCAGCTGAATCCTCTATCTAGCCTGAGTTCTACAAAGAACTGTTACTTTTTAAATGCTTTCTTTTGTTCCTTCATTAATTTGTAGTTTGTGTGTATGTGTGTGTATGAACAGAAATACAAATAGAGAGGCAACTAAGTGAATAAAGAACAAACCGAGTTCAGCCCAAGTGGGCATGCTCTTGGACATGACCCCCTCGGACCTGTTAAGCTTCATCAGTTGTTGAGAAACATAAGTATCCATCCCTTTCCTGTTCTGTTGTTTTCCAGTCGGATTATAGGTAAAAAGCCTGTTGCTGGACAGCATATGCAATAGAAATGCTAAAATCGTGCCAGCATTTGTTTTAGTTGTGCTAACATGTTTGATTTACAGCTGAGCAGTCTGTGTGAAAAAAAAAAAAATGAGTCGCAGGCTTAAAGTCCAAATATTATCTCAGTTTTCCATAAGTTGCCCTTTCTACCTTCTAGTAGAGCAGTACTGTTTTGTGCTATTTTGTTCTGGTTAGTGGTAAGCTCTGACATCATTAAATATCGTCTTTAATTTTAGGGATCTATCTTCTGGATTTAATCTACATCGATTCTGCATATCCTGCCTCAGGCAGCATCATGGAAAATGAACAAAGATCCAATCAGATGAACAATATTCTCCGAATAATTGCTGATTTACAAGTTTCCTGTAGCTACGGTTAGTACTCTTGGCTGTTGGAGTTGTAAAATCTTACCTCACCAATGCTGGATCCAGCACCTTATTTATAGGAAAGCTCTAGAAACCAAGCAAGCCCTACAGAGGTCTTCATTTTAATATCATGAGCATCAAACATGTACTACATCCTTTACACATAGCTTTGATCTTCAGAGACTGTGCAAACCAGATGTTACTATTTCTGTAGAACAGGTAAGGACCCTAAGGCTGGAGACAGTTCAGTCCCTTATCTACAGCCACTCATCTAGTCTGTCTGGCTAGAGTCTGGGTCTGTCTGGCTCCCAGTTCACTCATTCATGAGGCGCTTTTTGGGTAGCTCTGCTCCAGTCAGATTTAGGGACCAGACTCCTTCCATCAGTGGCACTGCTGTCTCCCGTGGCCTCAGAGCCCTTCATGGGGCTCTGTATCTGGCCAGTAGGCACAGGAAGAGAGAGACTAACCCCGGGTGGGCTTTATGGCACACACTTGCAAGCATTTCACATCACTTTTGAAGGAGACTAGGAACTATCATCTAGCTGTGGGTCTAGGAGGTAAAGAGAGATGACACGGTAAACAACTGGCCAGGCTCAGTTGTTTACACACTCAGATCCAAAGTGTGACCATGATGCTGGGTGTCTGGGATGGATGGAGATGACTGGTGTGGGGGCCTCAGCACAGTCCCTAGCATTTCACTGGAGCCCAGCAAGGGCCTCCCTCACTTTTAACTGCTCAGTTCATCTCCACCGGTATCAGCCCCATAATCCACTTTATAAAGGATGTCACTATCCTCATGTCACAGGTAAGGACTCTGACATTGCAGAGCAACAAAATGACCTGTTCAGAATTAAGTGAGGGGCAGAGCCATTGTTTCCATAGCACCTGGATGCACTTCCCCAGAGAGGGAGGCCCTGCCCACCCTCTCCTGTGCTCCCCTTCACATCACCCCTCACACCCTCCACCTCTCCCCTTGGCTTGTTCTGGCCCTCACAGAAGGAGTATAGTGACCTTGAAGGTCTAAAGGGGGCAGCTAATGCCACTCACTCCAGGGAAACAGGCAGCCCAGTATGGCAGAAGGATGAGAGCCTGGGTTTGCAACATCTGAACCATGTGACTGACCTTTGCAGTTTGCCACAACTTCCTCTGCATTGGGAGCATTATTTCTCCCACACAAGGCTGTGTGAAGGTTAAAGCAGACCCTGTAAGTCATCTGAAGCAGAGCCTGGCATAAAGCAGCTCCAGTCACAGATGGGGCTAAGATCTGGGTTGGGTCTCCATAGCAGGCTGGGTGGCATCTGTTGGTTCATTCTTGCATTCATGTTACACAGGGGACAGGCAGGCATGGGAGACCTGCCCTGTTACCTCTGTGAAAACATATTCCAGGGCACAGACACCTGGCTGTGGTCTGTTTGGGTGGCCCCAGAGCCATCCTTCTCCAGCCCCTGAACTTTAAATGGAGGTCTCAGATGCTCCTTCCTGGCTGAAGAACCACAGTGGCCTCTGAGTGTGGTGTCTGTGGCCCATCCATCTGGAGGGACTCCTTGAGGTTGGAACCCAGGCCTCATCCCCCATGTCTGTGGCACAGCACACAGCCAGACCCCCCAAATGCATGAAGAAGATATTCTTGATGGAAAAGCAAATAAGTCTCAATGTCCAAGGAGCATCTAAAATCAGTGATTGCTATACTTATCATTTGGGGCCTAGAGATGGGGGAGACCGAAGCCTCTGGATTTTATCCACTTTCTGCAGATCACCTCACCACCCTGCCCCACGTGCAGAAGTACCTGAAGTCTGTACGCTACATTGAAGAGCTCCAGAAATTTGTAGAGGATGACAACTACAAGTAAGTGCTTCCCACTCCTGCTCAGTCGGGCTACCCGATTGCCACTGTTGCCCTCAGCACTCAGGTTCCTGGAGGTGGCGTGGCCCTTGAGACCAGTGAGTAGCCACTGGCCGGGCTTATCGAAGTCCCCTTCAGCAGCACCCCCATACCAGCACAGATAAGCATGTGTGTGCAATGTGAGCTCCCACCTCCTGGAACCCATAGTAGTGCTGCCCGAGCAGCTCTCACACCCACCTCTGCCCCAGCCCCATGAGCTTCCAGTTCCAAAGGAGGTGTCTGTGTCAACTTCTTGGTGGGGTGTTCCCACATGGCATGGGTGGTATGAGTTTGGACTCCACAGCTGTGCCACTTAGCACTCTGCTTCTCTCAAGTGATCCCTACCCATGGCACTAGGTAGAGGGCAGCCTTCTAGCCACATTCCCCGGCCAGTGGATAGGAGTTTTCCAAGAGCCAATTTCATCCCCAAGATCGTTCCATATGGCTCTTGGCTTTCTACAGGACTCTTGCCTCCTAGAAGTGGCTGAGAGTCTGTCTCCCTCCCGGTGCCGCCCCATGGAGCAGACCCAGTTCTTGTAACAACCCCATGGGCCCTCACCTGCTCCTCCCCCTGCTCTGGTTTTCTTTCTTCATTTGTGGCATCTTATACAATCTTTCTATGTATTTGGAAAGGAGAAGGAGGATTTTTCACATCACCTCTCTGCCATGTTGTTTAGAAATCCTCCTGGCTCACTTTCAGCTTGAGGTCAACCAAAATGGGTTCTTTTAAGTCTTATTTTACTGGTTGCTTCCACTATCCCATGATCCTTTTGTATTTCTCTTCCAGTTTTGTATCTACAAATTTGATCAGCCTAAATCCACGGTCTTCATCTAAGTCAATGAAAACTGTAGAGAACTATGGCCACAGACACCCATCTCCCCAAGTTACCCATGGCTGCCTCACCAGGGGGGATTCCCAGGGGAATGGCTGTTGAAACAGCAGCCCAACTGTCCAGTCAGCTCCACAGGAGTGGGTTGCTGCCCTGGTTGTGAATCAGTCACCTGGGAAATTTTCTAACCTCCCAAATGTCTTGGGCCTGAAGATCTCTAGTGTTTTCAGACTTCCTAGGTGGTTCTACTAATCTTTGGGAACAAATTTATTATCTTTAGTCATTGTTATATAATAATTTGTTAAAATATATGAAATAGTGATCTATTATATAGTAGTAACAATAGATGAAGGCCAGAGATTACCATTAAAGTCATGTTGGCCACAAATTGAGCTCGTTTTATTTATAAAGCATTTGCTGTTCCTGAAAAGAGTGCACTGGAATATGAAATTATTCCCACTTAGTATCTGGGATAATACTTTCCATTCATGTGCCAGTATTGCAATTAAAGAAACAGTAGTTTTTCATTAATAGTAATATGCTTTAAGGAGAAAAATGGTCTCTAAATACCTCAGACCATGAGATAATTTTTGGATAGGCTGAATATCATGAGTATTACTCCTTCTATTCTGAAGGACCTTGAACTCCTCTACCACTTATGCTTTAACAGTCATCCTGGGTTTTATAAATATCCTTTGTTGTCAAAGTGGACAAACCAGGAAGGAAGCCTGCATTCTCATCCCTGGTCCCCGGGAGGGAGTCCCTTTCCAGGGAGGTTCAGGCCCTGCTTAGCCAGAGCCGGGGAAGACCTGTGATTCTGCTTGGGGAACCCACATTCCACAGCCCACTCATACCTGAATCAATTCCCCCAAAGGAAGCAATGGCTTAATTTTTACATTTGTGACTTGTGTTTCTAATATTCTGTCCCCATCTGCTTGGGAGATATTATGCCAAGAAGCCCAGCCAGTGCTTTTTACTTTTTCTTTAGTCTATTTTTGTTATATTATGTTATGTTATGTTATGTTATTAAAATAACCCATTCCCACTGCCTAGAAAGCATAACCGTTAATATTACATGAATATAATTGTGGACATTTTTCTATACATAAAAAATTTATACAGAGAGAAGGATGGCTAGGTGGATAGATACAAGGATGCAGGGTATTAAAATTGAATTACACTACACTTTCTGTTGCTGATTAAAAATATTAACTTCTGATTTAACCAGAAAAATGAAAATGAAATGAAATATGAGAAATTTCTACTCTTTAAATAGATATTTTTCTAGCACAAGAGGTATTATTTTCTTTAAAAAGCCTTCTAAGATTAATAAAAAAGAGGTCAGGAAAATCATTAAGAGGTTTGAGTCACCAAGTTTGGTTTTTAACTAGGTTTCCAGTGTTGGTTGACTCTGGTTATGAAAGATGAGAATATTAGCGCTCCCCCATTCCTTCGCCTCTACTTCACGAGCATCTAACTTTTGTTAGTTATATTATTATTACCACGCACTCAGGTTTATAATGTAAACACCATGTTCAGGAATCATGATTCCTACTGTTTAGAATCATTAAACAGATTCACTTCTTTTTTTTTTTTTTTTTGAGACGGAGCCTCAAGCTGTCCCCCTGGGTAGAGTGCCATGACATCACAGCTCACAGCAACCTCCAACTCCTGGGCCCAAGCGAGTCTCCTGCCCCAACCTCCCAAGTAGCTGGGACCACAGGCACCCGCCACAACGCCCGGCTATTTTTTGGTTGCTGCTGTCGTTGTTTGGCGGGTCCGGGCTGGGGATTCGAACCCGCCACCTTAGGTGTATGTGGCTGGCGCCTTAGCCACTTGAGCCACAGGCGCCGAGCCAACAGATTCACTTCTAACCACCTGTTGTTTCTCCACAGTTTCTTATTCCTCGAATGTTTATTTCAAATCAGTCCCTTATTTAGCCGGATTTCACAAGGAAATGATGAAATCCCCTCCCACCCACTGCCAAAAAAATGAAGGTGCTCAGTGGTCCTGTGGTCCCTAATTTCTTTTCTGGAGATGCCTTCCTCGGGCTGGGCCTCGCCCTGTGGCCGCGCTCCTCCACTGCTCCCGCTCAGGACCGTGGGCCTTGCACTCTTGCCTTCTGGCCTTGTTGCTGTAGAGAATAAGCCAGTCTGATCTTTTTCTTTTTGTAAGGGACTTTGTTTTGTCTGCCTGGTGGCCAAAGAATTCCTTAAAGTTCAAAAGCTCAGTCAAGGAATTGCTACAGAATAGAGGGTCCTGTACCAAATGTCCCTGGCCCGTGGAGTCCTCTTTCTTCATCTCAGAGGAAGTCTTTTGGTTTATACCTTTGACTACTTCTTCTGTGCCACTTCTTGGCTTCTCTCTTCCAGGGATTCCAGGAATCCCTGTGTTGGACGCCCACTGCCCTGCGAGTCCCTCAGCTTCTTCCTGATGGCTGTGTCTCACCTTGTTCATCAGCAGGCACTGGGATGTCCTGTTGCCACTTCCGTGTTCTCTCAGTGTGCTCTTGTTTCCGTCCTTGATTGGTTGGTACCCCTGGGTCTTTGATATCCCTTTTCATTTCATTCCTCTGTCACTCATTCTTCAGGTTCTGTTCTACTCGGCCATGTTCTTCCTAAGTCGCTCTGTTGCTCAGAGCACGTAGAGGATCCCTCTGCTCCTGGGGCTGCCTTCTGGGCTGGGCCACTGGGCAGTGCTCTCCCTTTCTCTTTCCTTCTATTGTAAAAAGCTGTGTGTCGTGTTGCCACACCATTTCTTTTTCTCCTGCTCTCATTAGAGAGGCTCCATTCCGGTATTCCATGGCTCTGATGCAGGAGGGAGACAGGAGGCCCTCCTCCTGAGTGTGAGAGAGAGAGGCAAGTTTCCCCTCCTGCTGGCTGGGGAGTGGGAGGCTCAGGCTCCGTGGAGGCAGGGAGCCAACAGTCTGTCCACGTATGTGCACTCCAGTAAAAAGGCCTCTGTTGGGGCCTATGTCCCATTCCAGACAGGGATGCCCTCAGGTTTCAAATCATACCCCGTGGAGCCTTCATGTCCATCAGAGTGTCCGCCATGCTTTCCCCCCATTTCCTCCATTTCTCCCCAGCAATTGTTGCCATTCCTAAGAGGGAAAGATAAGGACTCCGCTCCCCCAGCCCCACAGAGACACCTCCGAGAGCAGGAGAGGACCCATGCTGTGTTGTACCTCTGGGTCCAACATCAGAATCCTCTTTTTCTTTCCTTAACTGCAAGTCTTTGAAGTTCATGGCCTTAAATAAGCCCTTTCCCTGTTATTTGCAGCTGGTGAGTTCTTTTACTTATAATCTTTTATAACTGTTAGTTGGTTTAGTGGGGAGAGGGAAAGTCTGGCATTCATCTTCACTCTATCATTTTCACCTAGAAGTTCTTATTGTTGCTTTAAAAAATATATTGAGGTGCATCTCTGAGGGCAGCTGATGAGCAAGGAGTGTGGCGTAATGATTAATGTAATAACCCCAGTTCGGGGTCAGACGGCCCTGGTTTGATCCCCTACTCTGCTGCTTGCTAATCCTGTGAATCTGGGGAAACTCCTTGGCCTCACCACTACTCAGTTTCCTCATCTCTCTCTATATATATTTTAATTACTAACATCTCTTCATTGGGAAAGTTTCCTCACCTGTAAGAAGTACCTAGTTCATGGAATTGCCATAAAAGCTAACACATATTTGCTCAGTAAACAATAGGCTGTGGTCGCTCTTTTTACTTTGTCTTTTGTAACCATCGTTTCTTGGTCATAGAAATCCCTTGGAAACCTCCGAGGGAAGTAGCCGTGACCTGGAGCAGATCCAACCTGGGTTCCATGATTGACAGCCCTTCACAGCTAACCCATTCCCCAATCCCAAACACACACATGTTCAGTTTCTCCTATGATAAACCTGATTCCAACTGATGTTGTGAAAATCTTTGTTTTCAGACTGTCACTCAGAATTGAACCAGGAAGCAGCTCTCCACGGCTAGTCTCGTCCAAGGAAGACCTTGCAGGTACCGTAGCTACCTCAAATGGGAGCAAACCCCCAGTAGCCCAAATATGACTACCAGAGTTGACCTTGATGATGGAGCCAAAGGGCAAAGCTGAGAGGGCAGCTTGCAGACTCAGCTGTCCCTGTTCACAGCCCTTCCACTCCAATGTCCCGGGCTCTTAAACACATGGGACCCCTGTGGGACACCTCTGTGCTAGGGCTCCTTAGAAGAGCCTGTATTTTGGAGACTGGGACCAAACAACCCCAAAGGGCAAAAGATCAGAGCCCCAAAATTGGGAGCAAGTACAAGGTAGAGAGAGCCCCAGATTTTTTCTAGGCCACCTGACCATTAGCGTTAGGGATGCTGCCCGGGTTCGGGTCTTCGTGCCTGGAGGGGTGCACAGAATCCCTGGGGTAATAGGAGCCACCAGACACAGGAACACACACATGCACACAGTGCCCAGGCTCTGCTGTTCCCTCACTTTATCGCCTTGCCTCTCTCATCTCCAGTGCCCTCCCCATAGAGGGAAGGGGATACTGGTATTCACCTTGCTGAATGCAGCTCTTGTGATGCCCGTGTTTGCCACACCTGGATAGCACTCGTGATGGTACACTGTGGAAGTGCACTCGGCACTGGCTGCTTCGTCATTGTTATTGTCATGGTTTACCTTTTATTAGTATCCAACCAACTCACAGTAACTGGGGCCGATCTCTTTCCACTGCTGCCCAGGGACAGGGGGACCAAGACCACTTCCTCCTCCTGGTTGGAGCTGTGCTGTAGGCCACTGCAGTCTTGTCAAGTGACTTCAGCCCTCTGAGCCTCAGTTTCTTTACCTGTAAAGTAGGAATAATAAAACATTCATCCCAGGAACACTGGATGTCAAAAATGAAGTGCTGCCCAGAGGCAGTCACTGTAGTCTGACATATAGCGAGTGTTCAGTGAGGGGTGGCTACTGCCAGCTGCTCCCTGGTGTTGTGCCACCCAGACTGTTGCCCTGCTGAAGCCATTCTCTGCACTCTTCTCAGCCAACCCACCCACTGTAACACCTCCTGTTGTCCACAGGACCAGAGAGCCATGAGAGGCAAAGCTTCTGCCCTGACTCCTATGTGCACCCCAGGGTCCTCATTTTTTCCAGCTCTCAGTACCACTGTGCAAGTGGAGACATAAGTTGACCTTCAAAGTCTTAGGAGGTGCTCTTGTCCTACCTTAGAACAGTCAAGAATGCCAGCATAAGCCTGATTTTCACAGGGTTTCCAAGACCCCGATATTAACATATTCTCTGCACTCATCCAAATGAGTGATGGGTGACCTCATAGCGAGGGTGGCTGGAAGGAAAGCTCCGGGCGCCGGTCCTGTCTCCACCCTCTCGTCTCTGTCCGTTCTATAACATCTTCCTTCTCTCAGTTAACGCTGCCCCTGCAGATGCTCATTCACTCACACCGGAGCACTGGGGGGAGGCAGGAGGCCGAGGACAGGGTTCCCTTCAGAAGGATACAGGAAACAGTGCAGGATTCTAAAATAATCAAATTGCTTAGGGCCACAGAAGGAACACTAGCAAAGACCAGCCATCCAAGACCATCTTTGGGAGATGGTGCCAAAATTCTGGAGCAGAATGAGAGTGGTGCTCTGCCCCTCTGAGTCACCTCCACATTCGGTTGAATAGGAAGCCTCCCTGTTGGGTCTCTACAGCCTTATCAGGCTAGTAGGCCTTAACAAGATGGGCCACATCTCTGGGATTCCCCAAATGCCAAGAAGTCCCACAGCTACATGTGCTGCCCCTCAGACAGTGCTGGCGGGTTCCTTCCCAGTGGCCCCGCCTGCTGTCTGATTCCATCACTTCTACCCTTGCTGGCCTTAGCCTGAGCTCACTGCTCCCTCCCTGTGTGCTGAAGCCATTGAGCAGGGAGAGATGGCAGGGCCAGCAGTCATGAAAGAGGAGAATGTTAGCCTCAGCATGAGGGGACAGCTTTGCCGCTCTCAGTAGCCCTCTCCTTCCTCAGGCCAACCCCAGCCTCATCTCCACCTTCAAATAGCAAGGCCTCTGTGAATTCTCCACCCTAGACCTTTCGCCTGGGCCTTGAACATTCTTCCCCTTGGTTTTTGAGGTCTTGCTCGTCCTTTTAGACTCAGAGGAATTTTATTTCTGCCCTTTATTTCTTCATAGCATTCACCACCACTTGTCATAATTTTCTTTGTGTTGTCACTAGACCTGACGTGTTCCCCAGTGATGGCTGAGCCATGGAAGATGGCTGGCTTAGCAGGAGCCGTGGGTGGGGAGAGTGAAGCAGGAGGGAATGGAAAGAAGTGCCTGACCTCCCTTTCCTCCAGCCCGCTCTGCTGCCAGAGCCTTCCATTGGCCAAACCCAGCAGACTTCTAGGGGAGAGAGGGAAGATTCAGGACATGCATCTCAAGGGGCAGCCTTCCACCAGGAGTGACACTGAGCAGGGCCAAAAATGCACCCTACTGGGCCAACAGAACACCCAGCATATGACCAAAGCTCTGTTTCTCCATCTGTAATGTGGGCATAATGTGTACCACCCTCTGTGTTAGCACAATGCCTAACACACAGAACACACTTAAAGTGGGCCTTCATCCTGACAGCGTGACTGTCATAATTGTTGTCAATTTATGGTTCTGCTTCTGACATGGAATTGGCTGGTAGGTCTTAGGTAAACATCACTGCCCCAAGGAAGCCTTTCTTCTTACCATTTCCCCCATCCCAGACCAGGTGAGGCCCCCAGGAGCTGACAGACGGTGAGCAAAATCCACTCCCTCCCAACTGCACCCCCACTTTATGTCGCAATATAGCTGCTTTTATCTGTTGACGTACTGTTTGTAGCTCCTTTCATGCAACAAAGACTCTGAGTGCTGAAAAGCCTAAAACATTTACTATCTGCCCTTTACAGAAGTTTGCCACCCCCCTGCTTCCCTTCCTACTGCTAGTCTCTGCATGTCTCCATGGCACCTCCCTCTGTGGCAGTCCTACGGCTGTGTGCCTATGTGCCCACATCTGGCTTCCCACCAGACTGAAAGCCCCCTGAGGCAAGGACCCCACCTGGAATTGCTAGACGTCACCTGCTCTCGCCCCTTTAGCCCAGCCCCTGAGCCGCCTGCTGGGCCAGAGGTACGTGGTTCAGGAGGCAGCCCCTGAGCGGCCTACTGCTGACTCGGCACAGCCTGTGCAGAAGTGCTGATGCCGGCAGTTTTCTGCAGCAGCTGAGCAAGCCCCAGCTCACAGGAGTGTTTTCCACCAGTTTTCCAAATCCCTGGCTTCAGCCCTGGAAGCAGGATGTGAAGGTTTTCATTGATCACCAGAGGTCAAGGCTGTCTGGAAGGCTTCAGTCACACTCAGTAGTCCCAGCTTCCCACTTCCAGCCTCAGCTGGCAGAGTGGGTGCTGCTGCTGTAGGGCGATAGCCAGGGTCCTTCAGACGGTGGGGCCAGAGGGAGACCCCAGGAGGCCTATCTGGGCTGGGCAGTCAGACTGAGCCTCGTCGTGGCAGGAGACCGACAGGATCAGGGACAGGAATGTACCTCTCGCAGTCCCAGGAATGGGAGGAACGCAGCCTCCCCTATCTCCTCCAGGGGGTTTTAGGCTTCAGCTCAGGCTCTTCCCAGTAGTCAGACACCCCACACCTGCCAAAGAAAGGCCCCAAAAGGTGCTAACTTGTTCCTTCACTCAAGATTTGCAGGCCAAGTTTGTGCCATGGGTCAGGAACTGCTATGAACCAGGTGCCCAGTGGGAAGGCCAAACTGCCCTCCTGGAGCTCATGTTTTAGTGGGCTGGGAAACAGCAAAAACCACCAGGACAGGGACTGGAACACTGAGGGGCCAAAGGGAGGCTGTGTGAGAGCGAGTGAGCTGGCTGGTGGACTCTCTGGCCCTTTGTCCAGACTGCCCACCTACAGCCTGGGGGACCCAGGCTCTGATATTGACAGCAGCCAAAGTCTCAGATCTCTCTGAGGCCTCAGTTCGCAACAGTCATGGCCCATGGACTAAGGCTGTGCTCTTTGGCTCTGGAATGGTTCCCTTACCCCACAGAGAGAGCTTCCCTTATCTTCCCCCTACCTTCAACCCCGGGGGAACGGCTGTGCAGGCAGCGCTACACCAACAAATAGACTGTGAGAAAGGAAATGGAGAAACCTTCTCTGTTTCTGGGTCTGTGGAGGAAAAAAGGCCAGGCCAGGAATGCCACGTTTTCAGTTTTCCCTCCGTATGTAATGTTTAGTTTAAATAAATGAACTAATATTTTCCTGGAGAGAAAAAAATTGTAAGGAACGTTGACCCCCAGAAAGGGCGAACAGTGTTTGTGTGTGCTTTGGAACTGGTGAAGACTTTTCCAGATTTTGCTAGCACCGCCTCCATGTGGCTTCACCATCTGACAGGTTTTCTCTGAAGATTCTTGGGCAGCAGCAACTCCAGGGGATCTCAGCCTCCTGATTTTGTGCTTATACCTGCAGGCCTGCTCTCTGACACGACCGTTATGTCTCGTTGCGTGCTGCCTGGTGGAGTCAGGCAGGTCTAGTCACAGGGTCTGGACAGCCCCTAGGGTCTGTCCCCACTGCCCTATGCATCGAGAAATGTCAATGAGTGCCCTGCCCTGGATAACACCCCTTGCACATCCCTGGCTTTCCAGGATACTTTGAGTCACATCCTTTCCCCCACTTGGTCCTCCAAAGGCTAGTTCCACATAAGAATCAGAACTCCAGACCTGGTCTGGACATTAATTCTCCTGCCTCTTCCTAGCTGGAGTGCTTCAGGCCTGACTGCTTGTGACAAGAGCAGGGTGCTTGGCCCTTATCCCTGTCTAAGGCTTTCTCCATCTAACCTTGTTCTGTGCGGACAAGGGGAAGTACACAGTCATACAGGTGGATGCTGCTGCCTCTGGGGAACAGGGCCTTCTGGCCGGCAGCTAATAATGTCAATATTCCCTCTCTTGGGCACTTCCACAGATGGTTCAGAGATTCCATAAGTCCTGAGCCTGGCAAGACAAAGCCATTTTGGGGACCCCTGCCCCACCT